ATTTTTTTCCTGTTTTCTTCTCCTAAAAATTTGGTGCGTCTTGTGGAAAGGTGTGTCTTATGGAGCGAAAAATACGGTAATAACCCAAAACACATGTCTTATATTTAATCTTAGCAATCACATTGGCATAATTCAAAAACAGGGTGGTTCTACAATTAGGCAGTGAGGCAGGTGATTGTGGCAATAGATTCTGGGACTGAAATCTTGTTGAAAAGTGCAAAAAAGCTCACAATTTTCAGTCCATTGCTCACTGACAAATAAAAAGTCTGCACCATGGTTCCTGGAGGTACACGTATGTGCTGGTATGTTGCATGTATGGGCACTCCCAAGAATCACCATTGGGAGTTTTTATTTGCCAGTTAGGAACAGACTGAAAGCTATAAATTTTCTTATACTAAGTAACAGGATTTCAGTCTTGTGTGTCATAAAAAGGTCAGCAGACTGTAGTTATTTAATTTGTGATTACTGTACTCATACTGCCAGGAGGTTAAGTAAATGCTTATGAGATTTGTGCCTCATATGTTAAAAAAATTTTTTTGGGTGGCTTTGAGTATTATTTACTAAACTCCTTGATGGGGGCTAGAGGGAACGTACATTGCTGTTCTGACTCAGGCAGCAAAATATTTGTCCTGCAGAGGACAATAGTGAAAGAAGTGACTCGTGTACAGAATAAAGCTCGTTATGGCGTAAAAAGCATCATGAAGAAATCAGTTAATTGCTGTGCACTGCTTTGAGAAAAATGTAATAAACGGAACACTGTATCAATATTTCCACTGCCTGTTTTGAACTGTACTGCAATAACATAATGTCCTAACCTTCTTGTTCTAATCTCTGTTTCCCAAATGAGTAATTCCCAAACAAATATATTGGACACTGAAGCCCTAGGAAACAGGCATGTACAGTAGGACCTTTCTATCCATGGGATCAGTATCTCCTGATTCATTTCTCTGCTGCCTGAAAATACAAAATAAAAAACCTCAGAAATACATATTTGTACATATTTCTGGGGTGTATTTATCAGAACTGACCACTAGAGAGAGCCAGAGACTATGCAATGTACAGCTTCTGCGTTTTTATAGCATCTGCAAAAGGGAGCCTTAACAACGATCTCCCCCAGATATCAGAGTCCTACTGCATCTCAAACAAAATTCATGCCCAAATTCTTTTCACAGGAAATGCTTTCTGTGAATACAAAAAGTTAGAAAATTGGATCTGATAGAAGTATAAGACTCCAACCCTATACTCACTTACTTGGAAGTAAGTTTCATTTAAAAGTACACTATTGTAGGACTGTACTACATGTGCCATCATCTAAAAATCATTATACAGTGACCTTAAAAGTGTCAAAGTTGATGGCCATCAATTTGAACAATCATAATCTAGGTTATAATTTATGCATCATTTCAACAGCCTAGCCTTATTCAGTTGTTACTAAAGGATGTGTACTCTGCAAACTGTGATGGCAGTGCTTCAGCTCTACACCCCTGTGCCAAGACCTTCAGGCACAAAAGTTAGTGTCTGAAAAGAGAGAGGCTGTTTGGCCCATGTAGGCTCTCCATCTGAATCTGAATCTTTTTGTTTTCTGGCTCACAAGGACAGCCTACATGAATAGAACAGCCTCTTGCTCCTGCACGATGAAGGCATGTGAAGTACACACTCTTTAATAACACTGAACAGGACAAAATAGTAACCACTGTCAATCTTAAAGTTACCTCTTAACATTTAAGAGTCTGCCAGATTCTTCAATGAATTTTTAAAACTATATTTGTGTTACTATCTAACTGGACTTGGGTCCTTCTTAGATATAGTTAATGACACTCTGTACTTCACAGAACAATCTTGGAAGACATTTTTTCCAATGATCAGGTTTTACTTTGAAATGCAATAACGTAGCATACAGTATGTTACTATGCAACTGATATACACACCTTGATGAATGGAGATCTGATTTGTAGAACAACCAGTTTTTTAGAAGGTACTGAATACACTGAAGGAAGGAATAGACAGAATATCAAAACCTATTTTAAATTACATTCTCATGCTAACAGCAATTTCAGGCAATGTAATATGGATCCACATGTGATGTACAATTACACCTTGGAGCAATTTTGACAATGTCATGAATAATAACAAAGAATATACTGGTTTTGCATCTTAATATACTGAGAACATCAGAGAAAGAACATTACAGCAATACTCAATAAAGTAGAAATCAATTTTATTTTATATTATTCTATAGTTCTATATAGATTTCTGAATTCTTCCCATTCTGAACCACAATAGCATAAGGAATTACTTGAGAAAAATGTGTCTAATCGCACAGGTTTCTCTACCAAAAATGATGTTCGTCAGAGGCCAAACTTTTAAAATGTTACTTTGGATGACAAATAACCATTGAGCATAAACATAATTTGTCAGTTTCACTCAGTTTGGAAACGGTGGTTCTCACTGAAAACGTAACAAAAACTGTCATCCATGAGCTCACTTAAATTTTCTAAAGTGAGTAGGACCCCCTAATCCACAGGATCAATACCCACTGATTCACTTATTCACGGTCTGATAATATTAAAAACATTAAAATAAAAAAATCCAGAAAAAACTATTTTCATATGTATTATCAGAACTTTTCATTAGACAGAGCCAGAAACTGTGCTATGAAGTGCAGAAATATGGTCTCTGACAACCTCTAATGGCCAGTTCTAGAAATGCATGTGAAAATAGTTTTTTTTCTGTTATTTTTTCCCTTTTACCATGCTATCTGTCTGTCGTGTTCACTATTATCTACAGTTTTCAGTATCCATGTGGGGCTTGGAACCAATCCCCAGTGGATATGGGGGTTATACTGTAATAATCCAAAATTAAGCAGAACTGTTAACATGAATATACAATTATTTAAGCCATCCCAACAGTTACTTATATATACCCACCTTTAGCTCAAGAATAATATACTTCAGCATCCAATGACAGTGGAATGTAGATTTTCCTTCTCACTTGAACCCCCCAAAGCAGCATTCCCTGACACTAGGAACTTACTCCAGAATAAATTTTCAAGGTGTGGGAGGAAGGCATAGTTGTCAATTCTGTCTGAAGCAGTGGAATCCAACAGAAGTGCCCTTTTGAATCCTGACATCAGCCAAGTTTGACTATCAGTCAAGAGCTATTGCTATAGTGAATTCCACATGGAAAAACTTTGATATATACACAGAGAGTCAAATGAGATATCTGAAAATGTTTTTGCATGGAAAATCTTGAGTCATCTCAATTACAGGTTGCAGCGATCACCCTGCTTTAGCTCATGTAGGAGCTTATTTGCATATACCAATGGGAGCTGTTGAGAGGCGGAGCCAGAGAAACCAGAAGGGAGGGGTGAGTCAGAGAGAGAAGGAAGAGTTTAGAGAGTTCAGTCAGTGAGAGTCAGAGATGAGAGTCTGAAGTAGAAGTTAGTCTGTGGTAGGTAGGGTGGCAGCGTTAGGAGTTAAAGGAGGCAGTTAAGAATGTGGAACTTATAGAGAACTAAGAGAGTTAATAGTGAAACAAGTTATAACTAATCTAATGAATACAGTGCATTCAAGTCTGTGAAGAACCTGTTTAAGCAAACTAATCAATAAAACTGTATTTTTCAACTTTATACTCAGTCTAATTAAAGTGTGTTGACAGAGATCAAGTTGTGGCAGCGAGGTGAAGGACGTGTTGGGATACTTGCATGAGCTCTGTTTTTGGTGAAACAAGCAGGGGCCACGGGGTAAACGTCACACAGGTGCTCTTTCCTGATATCATTTACTACAAATGACCAAAAATACACTGCTGTATTCACATGAACTGCTGCTGGAAAGCATCAGTTATAATTAAGGAAGTAGAAGTTTGGATCCTATTTCTTGACCATGGTTGTTGTTGTTATGTGCCACCAAGTCACTTCTGACTTACGACAACCACCTTAAACTAAAAGTAGTCTTTCCTCAAATTGCAACATTCACCTGTCCTAGAACTGGGAGGGGATTAATAATAGCTACCTTCATAGAGATAAACTGGGTAAAAGTGACTGGGTATTTTTCTTTCTATCTCTAGTTCTACAAGGGCTACAGAATTATTTAGAAAAGCAAAAAAGCAAGCTGGGAATCTGATCCAGAGGATTGTCCAGATTAGCAGCTTGGTTAGAACCCGGACAAAATCTGTATAGCTGGGTAATATCACAACATTAACATGAAATTACCCCAAAAAGTAGGATTGGCTAGATCAAGCATACTATAAAAATAAAACATAAATTAAGACACACCTGAGAGTGCTTTGGCAAGATTGGTTATAGTACATACCTTCAGAATTTATACATAGCTCTGCTGCATTCTCTTCTGTTGTTGCATATGGGTTATTTCCAATCATTGGCACAAGACAATCAGTATAAAAATAACCAATTTTGGACATGCCAAGTGTACAAATTACTAAATCTACAGCCAGCTGGCCAACATTCCCAACTGATACCGCTGGCTGAAATGAAACAACAGATGTGCATGAGTTGTATAATCTCAACTAGTTTACTGATTCTGATTTTAATTTTCACTTGTGTTCAAAAGCTAACTATATGAAGTTGTCAAGACTGACACTTACTCACCATTTCTACAGCTACTTATATCTGCAGCATGTTTCAGTAGCCAAAGTGATATACCAGTGAATTAACTAAGGAATAACTTGAAAATCTAAGCATTAAGAACTGTTCCTTTTGCAATGATAAAATTGTATGCAATTATATGTTTATTATTAAATCAAAAAGAAACAATCTGCTTTTTTTCAGAGGATGATGTTTTAATCAAACTTTAAATCAAAAGTTATAACCCTATGATCAACTCTGCTGGATCTGACACATGGTCTATCTAGACCAGTATCCTGTTGTCAAAGGGTCAGGTAGAGGCTTTGAAGAAACATAAAAACAGAATTTAAAACAATCTTCTCCCACTGTATACATTGTAACAGCTAGCATCCTTTCTATACTTAGGAACCACATTTACATTAACAGCTACCCTGTTTCACCGAAAATAAGACCTAACCAGAAAATAAGCCCTAGTATGATTTTTCAGGATGCTCATAAGCCCTACCCTAAAAATAAGCCCATTAAGTGAAACCCCACCCTCCACCATTGTGCAGCAACTAGAAGAGGATGACATGACTGTATTTGAATAAATGTAGATTGTTGTACATGAAAAAATAAAACATTCCCTGAAAATAAGTCCTAATGTGTTTTTTGGAGCAAAAATTAATATAAGACTGTCTTATTTTCGGGGGGGAATGGTAGTAATATTTTCAGTACAATCATACCAATGGGAAATGGAGAGGTTACTTACCTGTAACCATGGTTCTTCAAGTGGTACTCTGTGAATGCACAGAAATGGGTTAAACTGCTCCTGCGCAGGACTTTTTGGAATATTCTAGAGATAAAATAAGTGGCCGATAGAACGTTTCCCCATGTTGTGCATGCCGTGTCTGCCCGTGGTACCTCAGTTCTGAACATCTGCTGCTGTCATAGCTCTGAAAATTACGAAACTCTAGACAACCTGTGACGGACAGCAGGGAGGCTGGGCGGGATGTGTGGATTCACAGAGTACCTCTCAAAAAACCATGGTTACAGGTAAATAACCTCTCTTTCTTCTTTGTGGTTTCTGTGAATGCACATGAATGGGTGATTAGCAAGCTCACTTACCGGCAGGAGGGCCGTCATCCTAAAACTGAAGTGAACACAGCCCTTCCAAAACTTGCTTCCTTTTTGGCTCTGACATCCAGTCTGTAATGTGTCACAAAGGTTGATGGTGTAGACCAAGTAGCTGATTGACAAATGTCAAAGACTTCAATGTCACAAAGCCAGGCAGTAGAGGTAGCTACAGCTCTAGTGGAATGTGCCTTCAATACATCTGGATATTCACTTGCCAATCAGTTCACAGACTAAAGCAATAGCAGAAACTATCCATCTAGAAACTGTCTGAGAAGAAACCGGACAACCTTTTCAAGGACCGTGGAAGCAAAGAAACAGTCTAGGAGATTTGCGGAATTCCTTAGTTCTAGAAATATAAAAGGCCAAAGCCCGACAAGCATCAAGGGAATGGAGCATGCACTCAATATTGGAAGAGGGGTTAGGAAACAACGTTGGGAGGATCAAAGGCTGATTAACATGAAAACTCGAAATCACCTTAGAGAGGAATGACACATCAGGATATGTCATTGTCAGGGTGAAATTTTATATATGGTGCATAAGACTACAGTGCAGCTAACTCACTTGCCCTCCGTGCAGATGTAACAGCCACAAGAAGCAAAGTCTTAAGAGAAAGAAGTTTTAGAAGAGTAGAAGCCATAGGTTCAAACAGTCTGAAGTGCAAAACAGTCTGAAGAGATCATTGAGGGATTTGAGGCCTTACAGGTGGACGAATGTTGCACAAACTCTGAAGGAACCTCTTCACAGTCGGGTGCGAGAATAAGCGGGAAGCGTCTGAACCCAAAGGCTGATAAGAAACAATGTCTGAAATATAAACCTTCAGTGTAGAATGCACCAGCCCTATATCAAACAAATAATGCAGGAAAGCAAGAAGAGTGTCTAATGAAGCTGGAACCGCCATAAAACCTCTGGACACAGCAAACGTGGTAAAAACGGACCACTTATAAGAATATAACAATTTGGTTGAAGGCTTCCTAGCCCTGTCCAACACTTCCTTTATACTGGGAGAATCCTCCATACTGTGCGATGGAGAGACTAAATGTTGGGGTGACAGACCTTGCCTCCATCAAGAGTTAGGCGGAATGGTTGGGAAGACAGTCTTAGGAAATCGGATGCAATGGTCTTGAGGGTGGTAAACCATGGTTGATGAAGCCACCATGGTGCTACCAAGATGGCATCGGCTCGCAACTGGCGGATCCTGAAAATTGTCTGTTGAATGAGAGGGATAGGAGGTAAAAGATAGAGAAGGTCAGCATCCCAAGTCACCATGAAGGCATCGCCCAAATAACCAGTGCCTCTCCCTGTTCAAGAACAAAACTTTAAGTACTTTGCGTTGATCTGAGTAGCAAAGATGTCGATGGCCAGTGTGCCCCACCTGTTGCAGATATGGGCGAACACAGCGTCATTGAGAACACACTCATGACTTTGAGTGGTCAGGTGGCTCAGGTAATTGGCCACATCGTTGTCCTCCGTCGATACATGGATGGCGATCGGAAATATGTGGTGATCGTAGCACCACTCCCACAGTTGGATCGCTAAGTATAGAAGGGACAAAGAGTGAGTGCCTCCCTGCTTGTTTATGTAATACAGAGTGGTCATGTTGTCCATAGCCACATGCACTCCATGACTGACCACTAGAGGATAGAAAGCACGAAGAGCCTTGATTACTGCCAACATCTCAAGAAGATTGATGTGTAGCAACTTCTCTGAGTTGGACCATACAGCATGGATCTTGTGAACGCCCCAACCCGTCGGGCTGGCGTCCATCATAATCTGGACTGTCAGCTGAAGGGGCCTAAAGGGTCAGTCAATTAGAAGATGCGGCACGAAAGCCCACCACATCAGTTGACTTGCTAACGCTGGAGTCACATGGAGGCATTTGGCATGGTTGTCTAATAGAGGATTGAACTGAGACAGGTACCACGCCTACAGAGAGCGCATCTTCAATCGAGCGTGAGGAAGAGTAGAAGAGCATGAGGAAGAGCAGCCATTAAGGCCTAAAAGATGCTGTGTGTGATGAGCAGAAACCCTGGTGTATGGGCAGAATGGATGAATAGCCCAACTCAATTTGTAAATCCTTTCGGAAGGAAGGAAAATCCTGGCTCTCTTGGAGTCCAAAACCGCGTCAATGTAGTCCATGGTCTGAGATGGTTGAAGATGGGACTTTCGAAAGTTGACCTGGAGGCCTAGATCTGCCAGAATTTATAGAGCAAAATTTGTATCTTCTTGTGCCTTGGTGTAAGAGCCAGCGATGATCAACCAGTCGTCTATATAAGGAAAGACCATCATATTGTGCAGACGCAGGTAGACTGCTACTGGAGCTAAACACTTTGTGAAGGTCCTTGGAGCGGTGGCAAGCCTGAATGGTAGGGCACAGAACTGGTACACTGACTCCACGAAGACAAAGCAGAGATATTTGTGATGATGCTCGTGGATGGAAATATGAAGAGGCCATAAAATATGGTGGGAACAGGGAAAGGAGAGGGGAAAGGAAAAAGAGGAAAGGACTCATGGGGAATGTTAAGGATTGCAGTCCAAGATCAAAAGACGAGAAGACAAAATACCAAAGTATCAAGATAAAGTCCGTAAAATCGCACACAGTAACCAGTCCAAAGGTCAAACACCAGACACAACAACAGTAGCCAATCCAAAATGCAAGAAATACTCCAGAGATCAGAAAAAATGTAGTCAAGAAAACAGGCCAGGATCAAAACCAGAAAACTTTGAAAGATTTGGAAACAGCTTTAGGCATCGCAAAAGAGTCCAATTGCAGTGGCGGCAAAAAGGAACGGAGGTACCACGGGTGGGTGGGTAATGTGCAATATAGGGAAACGTTCTATTGGTCAGTTACTTTAACTCTAGAATATTCCGAAGAGTCCGGCGCAGGTACAGTTTAACCCATTTGTGTGCACAGAGACCACAAAGAAGAATCATACTTAGTGAGCCTCAAAAATGGTTAGAACTGGGGCAATAAATTTAATAATAATCTTGAGAACTGCGGAGCTGGCAGGAACCCTATGGATCATCGACTCCAGCCCCTGCCCAGAAGGCACAGTATGGGACTCTTTAATGGGACAATAACGTTATTATTGGTAACTGCTAAAGAAGGAAACCCTGTTATTGTGGGTCTTCTCCTAGGCTTTGAACCTGCCCCAGCTGAAGCTGTCTTACATGTACAGGGCAGGGGTTTTGTTTTGTTTTGTTTGTGCTGGGTGTGATCTTACAAATGAGAATATACTCGACACACGAGCAATACTTCCCCTACCCCCGATACTGCAGGAGTTGACGCAACTCCCATCACTTCCAGCCAACATAATCACTGGTAAAGAGTGAAGGGAAATTTGCAGTGATAAAAACATCTGGAGAACCACACATTCCATAACCGTTTTCAATTGTTAAATAGATGTAATACAAAGATACTTAACTCCTCGTCTTTCTCCGGGAACCACACATTCCATAACCGTTTTTAATTGTTAAATAGATGTAATACAAAAAAACTTAACTCCTCGTCTTTCTCCTCCCTATTTTTTTTTTGCCCGCCGCCCGCCTCGCTCTTTTCCAAATCCCTTCTCTTTCTCCCCCATTACTCCTCAGCACTGGGGCAGAAGAGATTCCCGCCCATGTCCTCCCTTCGGCCGACTGACTTGAGAAGTCAGTGACCGGCGATCACGGCTCAGAAAACCCGCGCGTCGTTCGGCCGTTCGCCTAGGCGGCGGCGAAAGCATTTCTAGCCAGCTTTCCTGCAGGCCGGAAAGGAATGCTCGGTTACCATGAGGAGCGTGAAGCCCTTGAGGTCAGGGGGCGCGCGGCCCTGGCAGGCAACGAACATCCCGGCGGGGGAGGGGAGGGCGAGGCTAGGACTGGGGCGCCCTCCGTGTCCAGGGAAGCGGGCGCACGCGGCTGAGGAAGGGGCGGTTCAATTCGCGTCACCCCCCGCCCCGCCCCTCCGCAGCAACGGATGGGGTCCTTTTCTCTTGGCAGCAGCGGCGTGTGTGTAACTCATTGCCTGTCGCCCTCTGCCCTTTCAGCTACCGGTTTTAATTGAAAGCTGGTCGAGACACGCAGAGAAGTCCCGGCAGACAAAACGAATAGGTCGAGAAATTTGCTGAAGGGGGGTTTAGGTGAAATGACGAGAGCGGAGTCTCTGAGGTCCGCTCAGGCGACCACCTGGGACAGCTTGCCCGCGGGGCTATTTTGAACCGCGGTTGGCTTCGATTAGAAGGCCGCCGCCTGTTGTTGGCGGGGCGTCAGATGCTGGTTGGTTGAAAGCCGAGCCAATGGGGGCTCGGCAAAAGTCGAGCGGGGGCTCAGGCGGGTGAGTGAGCGGGAGGGGAGCCGGGTGCGGTGGGGGGGGCAGTCTGTCTCGCTCCTCCAGGGTCTCCTTTGGATTAACGCAGCAGCCTCGGGTTTCCCACATCCCTTAAGAACCAGTGCTGGCTGCTGAGCCATGGCGTTGCCCCTGGAGAAAGCGTCTGAATTGAAGCAGCTCATTCACCAGCAGCTGACCAAGGTGAGAAAAGATTTTTCCCATGACACAGGAAGCGGGAAAGTTTTTACTGTCCCTTTTCAACTCCCGCATTATGCCTCTGAGTGCTACCTGCGACCATGCCGAAGCAGAGTGGAGAGAGATGTCGAAACAGGCTGCAGAGAGAGCTTGAGGTTGTGTGGAAGTTAAATGTTATTGCAACATTCTTTCTTGTTTGTTCTTAATGATGCAGAAAATCCTTCCTTCCAGTGAAATATACTGATTTCTTAAGCAAAGCAATAAATTAGAGCGAGTTAAAGCTTTCCTAAGAATGCTTTTGTTTTTACAGGAGCAAAAGTTAAACAAAGCTAGAATGTAGGTATAGAATATGACTGAATAAGGGCAAGATTCAGTATTTTTGTTATTTATAAATAGGAAAAAAGCAGCTGTGTAATCCAGAGTTCTGGGCTGATTGATACAATTATCGATCACAAAGAAAGTTGGGATTGGGAAGGGAGTAGACAGTCCAAAAATTGGACCAGATGTGATATGTTTGGTACAAGCATATATCAGGAAACAGAACTGCTGGATGATATGATCTGAACACATCTTATTTATTGCAGTGCATGTCATCCACAAAACAGGGATTCCCAAAAGATGGGATGAATCAAGAGGACCTGAAAATGAGTTCAAAGTAGCTCATGCATGCAATTCTGGGCTGTCATAATTGGACCTGGCAATAGCGTTTCACAAAAAATATATATCTTCATTTGTCAAAAACAGTGCTGAACCATTACAAAGACCTCCATGTGTGTAATACATATCAACAGAGATGTGATATAAAATATAATAAGTCTAAAATAGATCTTTAGCTACATATGGTGTTCCAGAACACACATTAATAATATTTTCTGAAGGGATAACAAGAGTAAACTTGCTGTTTTTAGTCAGAGCTGGTTTTCCAATTACTGTAATGTCTATGTTGATATATCATTATTATTTTAACTTGAAAAGAAAATCTATAAAAATACAAGTTACTTAAGAATTTGTTTGATGAAAAACCATCATTACACATTTTGTCATAAGGAGGTACGGTAGCCAAAATTGTGTATTCACAATCGTAAAAAGCTCTTCCCCACTGTGCAAGCACATTTATGTCCAATTGACGCAGTTAGACACACTTTAGTTCTACCAAGGAAGAAGACCTAGGTATTTATAGGATTTAAAAGAGGGGACTTTACTTTGGTAATCATCTCATTAAATATTGGGATAGGTATTTGTAGGATTTAAAAGAGGGGACTTTGGTAATCATCTCATTAAATATTGGGCAAAACATCATTCAGACTTGTACCTAGCATGTTAACAGAAACATTTCTATATAGATGGATGTTCATAGCAGGATTCGAGAAGTTCTTGCTGAAACAATACATGAAGAATTGGCACCTCAACATCAGCAGCTGTCTGAAGAAGATCTGATGAAAGCCCTGATACGGAGAGGAATAATTGATGATGTTATGAAAGAACTCAGCTTTGTAAAAGTGAGTATAATTTGAAACCTTTTTCTGGACTCATGCCAGATACTTATGGCATAATGTAAATACAGATATCTTACAAAATCATTTACAAATGGTTTCATGTCAAACATTCAATATTATGCATAACCAAGAGCTGAGTGTGAAAGAGGAGAGCGCAAAAAATGTAACCAAGAATATGCATAACTATATTCTTTGCTACAGAATTCAACAGAAAGGATAATATGACGTTCCGATCAGCTTGTCTCCCAACTGCCTGTGTGCTCATTTGGGAATGGCATAGCTCTGCTATGTAACCCAGCAAGCAACCAATCATGGCACAATAAGATCAATATTTTCTACTTATTTGTTGGATTTATATCCTGCCTTTCCTCTGATATGCATAACTATATTCTTTGCTACAGAATTCAACAGAAAGGATAATATGACGTTCCGATCAGCTTGTCTCCCAACTGCCTGTGTGCTCATTTGGGAATGGCATAGCTCTGCTATGTAACCCAGCAAGCAACCAATCATGGCACAATAAGATCAATATTTTCTACTTATTTGTTGGATTTATATCCTGCCTTTCCTCTGGTGAGTTCATAGCAGTGTGTATGGTTATTTCCTTCTCACTGCACCCTCATACGAGTAACAACCTTGGGAAATAGGTCTGGCTAAGAGAGTATGATTGACCCAAGAACATCCAGTGAATTTCACAGCCCATATCGGGTTTGAAGTCTTATGGTCCAAATCCTAGCCTAACATTCTAACCACTAAGAGGATTGTCAGTAAACCAATACCAGCCCTACTAAATGGGTGCATTGAGGGGGACAGGCTAGGGGAGTATACATTCATCTCACCAATGGGAGCCTCAACCATTTATTACATTATGGTCTCCAAAGATCTGGCAGACTTAATATGTGACTTCGGGGTGGAATGCCACCATGAGAGTGATCACTTCCCTTTGTCCATATCATTCAACTGCAGAGCCGCTAAAGTATGTGCAGATAGTGAATTGGCCCTCCTGTGGACAGCTGAAATAAGAGCTGCCCGAGTAAAGTGGTCCACAGAAATGGTCACCCTTACAAGACAGTTATTATTAACTGAGCCCTTTTCCTTATTTGGTAACTCCATTGTGTCAGCTGACTCTGTCGGCTGCCCCGGAGGCCTATAAAGGGCTGATAAATCATCTGGAACCTTATCTGACATACAGAAAGGTACAGCCTAGACCCTCCCAAGCTGTCCACTCTAAATCCTGGTTCAATGCAGAATGTAAAACAGCAAAGCATGATCTAATAGCCCTATACAGGTGGTACAAAACACAGAATCTGACTAAGATTCCTCCAGACTGGTTTATACTCAAGAAAAACTACAAAGCCTTCATTAGGAGGAAAAAGTATCAAGTTCAGAGAGAGATATGATATCAGCATCCAAACTTAAGGACTCAGCCTCCTTCTGGAGGACTGTGGCAGGAGGTATGCAGGACTACTCTCCCAAACCCGACTGTTGCATCCTCCCCATGGTCTAGGAACAGTATTTCCAGAGCATTTATGCTATGCATCCAGAGAGTGCTTCAGATTTGTTTACACCTTACGAAAATTTACTCCAGGTGAAATCTCCTCATTAATTTGCCAGACAAAATCGGGTAAAGCCTCTGGTGTTGATTATATCCCAGTAGACTTATTGAAGGCCAACTTGGACTGGTGGGCCCCAGGCCTGGCCTCCCTATTCTCCTGGATTAATTATACAGTGTGTATTCCGGAGGACCGGGGATTAGCCATTATAGTACCAATATTTAAACAAGGCAATAGAGGAGACCCAGCTAATTACTGTCCGATAAGCCTACTTAGTACAATCAGTAAGTTATATGCAAGGTATCTACTGGGGAGGCTTTTGGACTGGCTTCAAGCAGAAAACATATTGACCGATGTGCGGGCAGGATTTAGGCCAGGAAAGTCTATCTTGGATCATGGCTTTATCCTACAACATCTAGCTCATAAATTCTCCTCCCCCTAAGGAGGCACCTTGTATACAGCCTTTATTGATTTTAAGTCTGCCTGTGGTCTTAATTCCAAGAAATAAACTTTGGCCAAATTTGAATCTACAAACATAGTCTGGTTGCTGACCTTGAGCCAGACATTCTGGAGAGTGAAGTCAAGTGGGCATTAGAAAGCATGGCTAACAACAAGGCCAGTGGAGGTGATGGCATTCCAGTTGAACTATTTAAAATCTTAAAAGATGATGCTGTTAAGGTGCTACACTCAGTATGGCAGCAAGTTTGGAAAACTCAGCCTTGGCCAGAGGATTGGAAAAGGTCAGTCTACATCACAGTCCCAAAGAAGGGCAGTGCCAAAGAATGCTCCAACTACCGTA